AGTTCTTATTTTTTACATGCTTGTTAGTAGGTGAGGCCTTTTCTTTGCCTCAATAGGATTAGTAAGGTAAGGTTTAACCCGGTTAGTGTTGCCTTGGTCCTATGCCTTTGGAAAATATCCACACGGCTATGAGATTATACGCCCTCGTGAGACTTTGCCAGCAGCTACCCCATGAATCCTCTACATGAGGCTGCCATCATAAGGCATTGTGAGGCGCAAAGGAGTGATTATATAGCCAAGACACATGGGTAACAATACAGGTGCTATTGCACCCCTTATTTGTACTCTTCCTAATTGTTGTATTTTTCTTTTCTTTTATTAATAAAAAACTAGCCCTAGGCACTTGCCTAGCGGATTGCCAAAAAGAAAAAAAAAACTATCAAATAAAATCAAATCTCCTAAATATAATCAAATCTCCTGAAGTCATGCTAATCAACAATCTCCTAAATATAATCAAATCTCGTGAAATCATGCTAATCAACAGAATCATAGGTGAAGGGAAGTTTCCATTAGTTCAAACACCAACACATTCTTATGCATTTGATTGATCCTATAGATGTTGAAAATTTGGTAGGCAATATAGAATTGTTGGCTTCCACAATTCCTGTCCAAAGGCGATTCGTGTACAACTGAATCATGTTGGGTTGCTCTTGTTTGTTGAGTTTCATTTTTTTTTACATCTTCTTTGGTATTCTTTCATAGTCTCTGAATTGTCTCTGATTTTTTGTTGTGATATTGTGCTATCATTCAGAAGGTGACTATGATAATATGATTTTTATCTCAGTTACTATCTAGTGAAATGGGTCCTACGGTTTCATTCAACATGAAAAGACCAGATGGAACATGGTATGGATATCGTGAGGTGGAAAAATTGGCAACTTTAGCAGGAATTCAACTGCGGGTAAGAGTTCAAAGGCCATATTGTCTATGAAGTATGTCTTTTATTCTGTTACACTTGGGGATGATATGGTTGCTACTTTATACTCTTGAAACATATCCTCAGAGCAGCTTGATACTGCTGTTTCTGGTCAATGTCTTACTTTCATTTGTTACCTTTTGTCCATGTCAAGGAGGACGACATTACATCCAAGAGGTGCCTTTTATGATTTATTATTCGTCTTCACATGTATCTGAATTCTTGATGTGCTTTTGCTTTGTGAAGTTTGCTAGTTAAACTTCTGTTAGTTTGTTATTTGCTAGTTTGGTCCTTCAGATGTATGCGTCACTTACTCTTTTAATCGCCTTCACCACTGTTAGATGTGTGAACTGCTACATTTAGGGTTGTTTTTCAGTGCTCAGTTATTGCCCTCCACAATACCTGCAATCTTTTATACTTTTTGGAATGAGCAGATAATCTCAACATGTAGTGGTAACTTTTGACTATGGAAGGCCAAATAAGGGATGACTTGCATCCATACTAACATGATGAGGTTGCTGTGTCTTTGTTACGTTCAAGCTCTTGTCAGAGAAATACTGTGTTATTTGCCGTTAATGAAACGATAATTTCAGATTTCTTTTGTACATTTGGTTATCTTCTCTAAGCTTTTTGATGTTACTCCTCTTCCCAATTAAGGTTACCCAGCTTTGGCCTGAGAAGTGTTTAAGAGTAAAGTTTATATGACACAACTTTGGTCGAGAAGTGTCTAAAACAAGAGGTTGAATGTGAAAAATGGAGTAGGTCGGTGAAAAATGTAAGCTCAAGTTTGAAATAATAGAAAGTAATAACAAATCTTCTTTAGCTGGAATTGTCAAAGAAATGGGTAAATTATTTGAGAATGCCCATAAAGAATTGTCTATCTTAAAGGGATGGAGGATTATACATCACAACTGGTGAAATTGGTAACTGTATACAACAACAACATACCCAATAATATCCCACAAATTGGTAGTTGTATATCTCAGATATTTAATACTGTTATATGATATGAGTAAACTCTTGCTTCTTTTTCCTTGTATTTTGTAGACAGGATGTTTTTGCAATCCTGGTGCTTGTGCTAAATATCTTGGTTTGTCACACTTGGATCTTCTTTCAAACATTGAGGTACATGTTTCCTTTCCCCAATTTTATTTGTTGTATGGCTTTTGTTGCATGCAGAAAGTGACCACCAAAGGCAACAAATTCAATTATGATTTCATTTAGGCTGGGCATGTGTGCTGGGATGATCGTGATATGTTACATGGAAAACCAACTGGAGCTATCAGAGTATCTTTTGGGTACATGTCAACATTTGAAGATGTTATGGTAAGGGGCCCCACCACTCCCAACTCACCTCAAAATGAAAGGTGGTTCTATATATATTTTTTATTTTATTTTTTGCAGTAGGATGTTGTTTCCTTGTATGGTCTTGGGTAATGCTCACTTCACGAGCTAGATTTGAAGGTTGAGTTCGGCCTAAGATCTATTTTCTGAAAATGGTATCGAAGCCTCTAAGGTTTTGGTAGACTCAAATAGCTTCCTCCACTGGAGAGTGGTGCCAGCTTTTTCTTCTTCCTTTCGGTGTTTGGTGCCACTTCTCTCTTTGGCTGTTCTGGTGCCACTATCTCTCCTGCAACCAGCGCTGCTCTTTTCTACATCTAGTGGTGCCCTCTTTTATGAATTTCTTGTCATTGTTCTACCAATTCAGGGTAAGCTGATAGTGTCTTAGAGATATGCAATACCGCGTCTCTTTTCGGTGATTGAGAATAGATTTTTATCCATGTAGTGCAAGAAACACCTTTTCCTGTGCAGTTATTCACGACCTTTTGTGGGGAAGATTTCAAATACCACTTTTCCTTTTATTGATTGTGCACTATTCCAGCGAGATTTCGACGTCAACTTTTATGTTACAACATAAGTAAACTCAAGTTGGTTTTACTACTTTGAGTTGAAGGTGCTTTCTTAGATGTGTCTAGATTCATAGATGTCTAGACTTATTGTACCTGAAGATTTGAATAAGAAAAATCTTGTAAAATATGAAAGATGATATATTTTGTTATGAAATAGTTTCTTACCTTATTAGCATAGAAATAGATTACCTATCTAATTGTACATAATGTAAGACCTCCTATACAAGGAGCATATCTTGTATATTGTTGCTTAGTCAAGTCAATGAGAAGTTTTTCCTATTTGAACATGACATCAAAGCCAGACAATTCCTATTCTTGGTTGACCCCTACACATATAAACATCATTATTAAGCTCTAGTCGCAAATATTCACATTAAAGTTAACACTACGAGGCATAATGCAAGGCAAATTACATGCAAAAACATGGATTTTAGCCAAACATCACTTAGTCAAGTCAATGAGAAGTTTTTCCTATTTGAACATGACATCAAAGCCAGACAATCCCTATTCTTGGTTTGCCCAACCCACTGTTATATTCTACACGCTCCAGCTGTCCGTCCTGGGCATGCAGGTAAGGGGAGGGCAAGGGTGTTAGAATGTCCGACATTAGTTACTTAACCAAAAAAAATAAAGGTCCCCCATTAGTTGAGGAAATGTGCTCTTATCTTCTTGTATGGTTGTGGGCAATCCTCACTTCATAAGCTAATTGAGTTAGGCCCAACATCTGTTTCCTCAAGAGAGAGAGTAAGGCTAAGAAATAGCTTAATGGTCACAAAGAACAAGGGACAACTTCCGGGATTTTTATTTTCAATCAGCTATTAGAGGGGCAAGCTGAAAATCGAAAGGGATAAAGGACTACAACAAGATGAACTTTTTAGCTCTTCAAGTTTCTGTCTGAAGAAAGAGCAACTTCTGGTCAAGAACTAGAGCAATCATTTGGATAGCTTGACTATATTGTTGTACTCCAACCCCATGGTTCCCATCACCACAAAGTATGGTCAAGAAAAAGCTAAATTGTTGAAAAACGGAAAATGGTTATGTCCTTTTCTTTTATTTTTAATATTTTTTTAATTTTTATAATTCCCTGTTCTGTTGTTTTGTTCTAGATATTGCTAGGTAGAAGTTTCAATTTCTATGAAGTTTCTGGTCATTGCCTCAATGGTTGATTGAGGAACTACTCTCTGCTCTGGATGTTCCTTTGGAAGCTAGTCTTTTCCCCTCCCTCATTTTCTTGCACTTGTCTTTGCAGAAGTTTGTCAACTTCGTGGAAAATAATTTTGTAATATTATCATCTAATTGGTCTGCGTTTCATCTAAGCTCCATCTCTCCACCAGTTGAAGGTTAATTTTTTTCACCCTTCTACTATTCGGCATGCATTAAATATATATGTTGATTTGGCTTCTTGTAGACCAGAAGTTGATTTAAGTGTGGTAGTTTGTCATTTTAATACCATAAAAGATAGTGTTTGGACTTGTTTTGTGAACCTATCCATGTCATTGACCAATTGCAGGAATTGGAAAAGCCGCTGCACGGCATTTCCTCACATCTATTACTGTCTATCCAATAAAGTCCTGCGCAGGATTTAGTGCGAATCAGTGGCCTCTAACATCTACTGGTAGCTATCTACTGTATCTCATTGGATAATTGAGTTTGTTAATAATCATGCTATTACATGTGGATTTATCAAAGTTAGATTTTGTCCGTATTAATTGCACATAGGAAATGTGCTCCTCCACATTTTCTTTAGAATATAAGTAATTTTGAATTTCATTGTGGCCTCCTCCACATTTTCTTTAGAATATAAGTAATTTTGAATTTCATTATGTTATTCTTACATAGTTATCCTTGTTTCTTTCACTATGAAATGCAGGGTTATTGTATGATCGTGAATGGATTCTCAAGAGCACAACTGGTGAAATTCTTACCCAAAAGAAGGTAGAATACTTTATAAGTCACAGCATGTGTATTGATGCCTGTTATCCATGTGCAAAACCATGGTTAAAATACCCTCCTCCACCTATTATAACTGGATTTAGGAAAGTGGAATTGTTGACTATCATTTGATTTACCCATCCTTCAAAATGTTGTGGTCTTAACCTTGTTAATCCTCTAGACAAGCCTGACAAATAATGACTCTTTTTCACAAAGTAACATGTTACTTCTTAACTTGGGTTGCGTGCATTAGAATTGACAGGGTGCGGATGGTCTGTAGGTTTTTTTCGAACCTCCCTATTGAATTTGTTTATTTTGTCTATTTCTTCTAATTTGACTTATTCACAGTTCATAAAGTGTCAACTCCCTTGAATAACTCCTTGTTCTCTCTGAATGTCAAAATCCTACTTGCTCCCATGTTTCACTACTAACTTTTAAGTGTCTTGATTTCTCCACTCCATTTTTTAGCCAAAAAAAGGACAGTCCGGTGCACGAAGCATCCGCATTCACGCAGGGTCCGGGAAAGGGCCGCGCCCCAAGGGGTGTGATGTAGGCAGCCTACCCTGATGCAAACAACAATGTCTGATTCCATGGCTCGAACCTGTGACCTATAGGTCACATGGAGACAACTTTACCATTGCTCCAGGGCTCCCCTTCATCCATTTTTTAGCTAGTCAGCTCTAATTTGTTATCTTGTTTTATTTTTCTTGAAAACATTTCAAAATATAATTTATCTTTAGTTTTTAGCAATCTATATTCAACTTGAATAATTTGTAAGTGTCCATGCTCTCGATTGTGCTATGATCTCTACTTTAATATTTAAACACTTAATTTTGTAAGAGAAGCAAGTAACTACTGTAAGCTTGTATACTAGAATCAAAGATAATGAATGATTAGTCAATGTTTATTGACTATTGCATCTTAACTATTATCCCTGATACAGGGTTGATTTCTTCTGCATCAACATCTAAGACAGGTGTATTTGCATTCTAGGTTCCAGAAATGTGCTATATTACCACGCTGATTGATCTCAATTTGGGAAAACTGTTTTTAGAGTCACCTCGTTGCAAGGAGAAATTGCAGATTGAACTCAAATCAAACTCACTTGCCACTGGAAGAGATGAAATGGATATCCAGAATCATAGGTTTGAGCTTCATCTTCACTTTTGCCTTATGTTATTTAAGGCTTGATAAACAAGCTTGTTACCTCTTGGTATCATTTAAGTAGTTTAGACAGAAATCACGTGAATCAGTTTTTAGAGCTTTATAACTCAACAGGGAGATTCCTATAGCAGTCAAAGAAATTTCAACAAGCCTTATGTACGTAGGTATACAACTACATAGATACAACTTTATGCTTTTTAATAATCGTGGTGTCCAAGCTAGCTTGCGCGTACCTCGACTAATTCTACTGGTACCTGTTACCTCCCACCAGTACAAGTGCTTCCTACCCGCATAGGTATTGGGTAACTCTATAAGTCCATAACCAAAATAGGGTCATCGAAAATTTGCAAAAGAACCGAAATAGAGTGTAAAAAAAGGAACCAAATTAGGTATAGCGCATGGTATGCATACGCTCTATGTATTTGAGCTAATGTCCCGAGTTAATGGTGGCCGTGGCTTGATTCTTTTAAAAAAAATATTATATAGCATTAGGAACATGCGCTATACAAATATGCATTACGGGCAGTGGCCGGGTTGAGACCTGGAGGTTACATTGGCTTATAAATGATAATGGCTAGTTAGGTATTGAATAGAACCTCTACAAAAGAATTAAAAGAGCATCTCACAATAGGTAGAATGCTTATAATTCTGCACAAAGTGAATTTAAGGAAACAAACTTGATCTTCATTGTCGAGATCTTTAAAAGAGAGTAATCAGAATAAATTCATTCAAGAAAAAAAAATATTAACCAATATTTAATATAACATTCCCCATGGAGAAGGGACCCATTATTTCCAAAAATTAATCAATTGTCAGCAGTTAATTTAATCATTCTTATTCCAATAATCTCTGTAATGTATAATTTTTTTTTTTTACAGTCATCAAGGTGGTTGTGCAGACTATATGTTGTACATGATGTTGATCATATTTAATTAAATTAATTAAGAAAAACATATTTCTTGTCCTATCCACTTGGATAAAAGGAACGTAAGACATCATTTGAGTGAAATTATTGGAATTACAATAAGAATAGACCCATGAATGTTTTCCCTTTTGGTATCCTAGTGTTCCACATACAGAAAGCTTCAGTTGTGTCACATTTGAAAGATGTAACTGGAGTGAATTTCAACAGAATAAATAAAAAAAAAAGTATTTCCTGTATTTTAATATGCTCTAACCCCACCGAAAGAAACTTTGATGTTGTCTATGGTGTATTTTAAGTGCAAGTACATTTAATTAAATCATGTTGGTTAATACATGACATAGTATAAATATTTTTAGTTCTAGGAAAGAATTGAAATCGAAAACTTGTCTTAGGTCATTATCAAAACGTGCTCAGTATTTTGTTCTCTTTTTCCCAAATGGATATTGATTTGGATGGATTTCCAAAAGAATTAACTTCAAATTGTTAGGTTTTTGAAAAAATATTTTAAAGCCATCTTGTTTTGTATGCATTTTGTAAGATGATAACAACAACAACAACCCAGTATAATCCCACTAGTGGGGTTTGGGGAGGGTAGTGTGTATGCAGACCTTACCCCTACCCCGAAGGAGTAGAGAGACTGTTTCCGAAAGACCCTCGGCTCAAGAAAACAAAAAGAAAAAAAAAGACAATATTAGTATCACCACAGAAATCATAGGAAAAATAGGAACAACATGAAATCTAGAAGAAAGATGCAAAGCAAAAGCGATAGCTAGTTAAAATATTATTAAGAGTGGTCAACATACTCTTCAATGTGCTTTTATTATGAAAAGAAACAACATATGAGTCGACAAGCTAGTGATGTTATTTGTCAATTGCTATCACTTACAAGAAGCCAATGCATCCTCAAGTGTCAACTCAGTCATTGCTCGTAATGCATATTTGTACTGCGCATGTTCCTAATGCACTATATAACTTCAGCCAAAAAAAGGGCGATGGCCGTTAACCCAGGACGTTAGCTCAAATACATTCGCATGCATTCCTTTTTCTGACACTCTATTTCAGTTCTTTCGCAAGTTTTCAACCCTATTTTGGTTTCGGACTCGTAACTCAGTCCACCAAGGCTTTGATAGAAGGGAAGAAATCGCCTAGATTATTTTTGTCTATGCTATGATTTGAACTTGAGGCTTTATGGTTCTCAACCCACTTCAATGACCACTAGGCCACACTATTAGGTGTAGATACACTCTTATATGGTAGCTAGATCTTACTAACTTGTAAGAGCAACTATGTTTTCTCGGACTATCATACAAGGTCATATGTAGAAGGTGCAATTATCTTTCTTTCTTGAGTTTTGAATTGTTCCCACAAAATTAAAAATTGTAGTTCGAAACTTAAGTTGTTGATCTTCTTTGTGTTAAACTATGTGACTGTCTATCTTATCTGACTTGAACAACACTGTCTTGCAGTTTCATCTTGGATGTGCAATAAGTAATTGGTTCTTTCACATTTACTTGTTTTTTAATTAGGAAGAAAAAGTTTCATTAAGAAAGCATGGTATATGTACAGTAGAAAAAGTTAGAAAAAATAGTGCTCCTTAATTTTGCTCTAAAATTTGTGAAAAACTTTGTTGATGGGCGTGCATGCGAGTGTCACCCACACACTTAGATTTTGTGGTGCCAAAGATGGTTATGGTATATGCATCATACTTGTGTAAGTTCTGTTTGCCCTGACAATCGACGCGTTGACGCGTCACATTCAAGGGAAGGTTCCGTGGTGCATGTTATTTGCAGATGACATTGTCCTCATTGACGAGACATGAGGTGATGTTAACGAGAGGTTATAGGTTTGGAGACAGACCCTGGAGTCTAAAGGTTTTCAAGTTGAGCTGAACCAAAACGGAATACTTGGAGTGCAAGTTCAGTAGCGTGACTCAGGTTGTGGACGGAGACGTGCGGCTTGATTCACAAGTCGCTCCTAGGAGTGAAAGTTTCAAGTACCTTGGATCTGTTATACAAGAGAATGAGGAGATCGACGAGTATGTCACACACGGTATTGGGGCGGGATGGATGAAATGAAGGCTTGCTTCTGGTGTTTTGTGTGATAAGAATGTGCCGCCAAAACTTAAAGGTAAGTTCTATAGAATGGTGGTCAGACCAACTATGCTATATGGGGCGGAGTGTTGGCCAGTCAAGAACTCCCATGTACAGAAGATGAAGGTGGCTGAAATGAGGATGTTGAAATGGATGTGCAGGCAAACCAGGTTGGATAGAATTAAAAATGAAGTTATCCGGGACAAGGTTGGCGTGGCCCCTGTGGAGGATAAGATGCCGGAGGCGAGACTTAGATGGTTCATGCATGTTAAGAGGAGAGACACTGATGCTCAGGTGAGGAGGTGTGAGAGGCTAGCGTTGGAGGACCAACGGAGAGGTAGAGGCAGGCCGAAGAAGTATTGGGGTGAGGTGATTAGGCGAGATATGCTGTTGTTCCAGCTGACTGAGGACATGACCATAGATAGGAAGGTGTGGAGGTTGAGAATAAAGGTAGAGGGTTAGGTAGCCGAGTGTTGTCCTTGTTTGTCACAGTAGCTTTGATACATCTCTTAGCGTCTTTCGAGTTCTTCTTTTTATCCCTAGATTGCTGTTATTTCTTATTGCTACCTTGTTTCGGTTTTCTGTTTTTTTTTTGATGAAGTGAGGTGTTATCATTAAGAAGGCATCAAGAAGATGCATAAGGAAACAAAAGCTACAAAGAGAGGTGACTGTTAGCTCTATTAGTACAAAAACTATGCTAGGATCAGAGAGCTAACAAAGTCCAAAAAGTGATCAGTGCTATTTACAGGGGTCATGAAGTTCTAGCTAAAAAAACTAACTAAACATCTAGCCTTCAGGAAGCATGCTGGAGTTGAGACACCATCAAAATATCTGCGATTTCTCTCTGTCCAGATACACCAAAAAATAGTTGCTTGGATCATTTTCCATATCCTTCTGATGGCCTTATCAACTTCCCACAAAAACCAGTTATCGTAGGCTTCCTTGACTGACTGAGGGGTGACCCAGGATCATCCAAATATGGAATAAAAGAAATTCCATAAGTCAGCTGCAACTAGACAATGATGGAATATGTGGTTTATGCTTTTTGTGTTATGGAGACACATGTAGCATCTGTTAACTAGTACTTGTTTCGATTTTATGTTTGCATTACTTAGTGTTAGCTTTGTATTTTCGCTTTGGTTGTCAGATTGGTTTGCTTGATGTTGCCCCTTCCCTTTTTCCTCTTTGAGCCGAGAGTTTACCGGAAATAGCCTCTCTGCCTCTTAAAGGCAGCGGTAAGGTCTGCGTACACTCTACCCTCCTCAGACCCCACTTGTGGGACTACACGAGGTTTGTTGTTGTTGTTTATCTGTGTAAGTTATACTGGTGAAAGACCAATCCAATTGCCTTTAGTGAAGCATGTGAAGCTTATAAATATTAACTGAATTTTGTGCCTTTCAAAAATGATTTTTTAATGGTGGTATCTCGGTCAAGTTGTGCGCACCTCTACTATTCCACTGGGTAGTAGTTATCTCCCACCAGCACAGGTATTGGGTAGCTCTGTCCAATAAGGCTTAGGAAGATAAGAAGAAATCACTTAATGTTTTTTGTCTCTGCCGGGATTTGAATTCTTTTCTCCAAAAAACCCACTTCATTGACCAAGAGGCCACACCCTTGAGTGTGTTTTCATTTCAAAGCTTATCTCATTATTTCCTTGTAATCGGAGACTATGGTTATGTTCTTTGGCATAGGCATCTAATTAAAACAAAGTCGGTATATTTCTTTACCTAAACAAAGGTATAGTTTATTGGAACTAATTATTTTTAAAGCTATTGCTGATTGTCGAGCTTCAAACCTCAGTTTGTTGGTTCCAAAGTAGATTGTATCCTAATTAAAGTGAACGATGTTTTGAGAAGGATGTCCATTGTTTTAGTCTGGCATGTTGCAAAAATAGCTAACTGCATGCACGGGAGAAAAATCTATTATTAACAATGATACAATGAGCCCTATATATAATACATCTTCTACCCCTACTACATATGGGACTAAGACATATTCTACTCCTATTACATTTGAGACTAGGACTATTTACACATAAATATCTAACACTTCCCTCAAGCTGGTGCATACAAATCATATGTACCGAGCTTGTTACATATGTAACTAATACGAGGACCAGTGAGGGACTTGGTGAAAATATCTGCAAGCTATCATTCGACATACAATGCCACTAGACTACCCCTAAGCAACAAAACTAGGTGGTTGCTAATAAACAGAAGTTGGCCGAAAAATCGCCGGAAAAAATTGAAATTAGTGAGACTACGCCGAATTTCACACTACAAAATAGGTTCTAAAACACCATCAGCAAACAAGAACCTTTTCTGGAATTACTATTCACACCGGAAAAAAAATAAAAGTTGTCAGAATTTGATGTAATTTATATGGATAGGCTCATGCTGGACTAATGATAATGAATGAAAGTCAGTCTTCTGGAAAATTCCAAATACTCGGAATCTGTAGGAAATTGTACTGGTGGACTCGGAATCACTCCACGAAACAACTATCCTAAAGAAATTTTTTAAAATTCTTGGTGACAAGTGCTCCATGCGCTAGCTAGAATGCAAATTTCCTAGTCATGTCTCAGACGTGCTCGCTAGAACCCTAGTTCTTGTAGCGCGTGGAGGTGCGTGAGGGACTTTCTGCCGCGATTGACTGGGGTTTGGTCGCCTGACTTTTCTGATCAAGATGGTAGTGTTGGTTTTCACACAACACATGCCAATGAGGAGATAACGGAAATTAATCTTGAGTCGTCAATTGGAAAGACGCACGGTGACTGACATTTCTGTTCCGATGGGACTGAGATTTCTGGGGTTTGGTCGCACAAGGGTTTCGGATTTGATAATGGTAGTGGTATATGCACAATACCACTGTAGCAGTGATAAACCCGGGGAACAATATGAAGTTGCCGGAATTTTTGTCCTACTACATATGGGACTAGGACATATTCTACTCCTACTACTTATGGGACTAGGACGATTTATACATAAATATCTAACAAGCACTATTATAGCTATGTAAGTGCTGCTCTCTGTTTAGTGTTCACCACATAAAAATCGACAAGAAGATTGTGGTTCATGAATTATAGTTATGTTAGTGGTGCTTTTGAATCAGCAGCATTATAGTAACACTCAATTGCTTTTCATGTTTTTTTTTTTTTTTTTTTTTTGATTTGAGTAGATATGAAGTCCGAAGTTATAACAATGAGGTTGATATCTGGTTCAGCAATGCAATTGGTCGACCTTGCACTCTATTAAGGAATTCAGGTTCCCAAAGTTACTCATGCATAAATAAGAATGGGAGTCCTGGCATGTGCAGGGATGTTGGTGCTAAATTGAATTTCGTCAATGAAGCCCAGTTTCTGCTGGTATCTGAAGAAAGCATAGCTGACCTCAACTCTAGGCTGAAATCAAGTATGTCTTTCTCATCTTCTCCCTTTCTTAATAGAGCACAATCTTTCTGTATGGTATTAAACTCTTCTGGAATAGGACTATATGGAAATTAGAGATTGCACCCAATACAATTAGTCCATTTGAGGATGTTCCTGTAAGCTGAATGCATAATAACTTTTAAACCATGTCTATACAATGATAAGTGGAATAACTTCTGTTCACTGGATACTGCTGGTTTACCTTACTTGAAATTAAGTTAGACGAGGTGGTGTTTTCTCTCTTTAGAGAAGACTAGTATTCGAAACGTGTACCTCTAGTAGCATGGCTGCTAATTGGATTTGCTGTCCGTTCAGTACCTTTTATAGTCCACAATACGTGAATTTGTTTCTAGATAAGTCACTCGTGTCACATAATTCCTCTGATGGCGGTTAGTGATTTTACAAGGATGGAGATTAAGAAAGGTGAATGTATGAAGCAAATAGGTCTATCAAAAACTCATTCAACCTTTGTTTTTTGGGTTTAGATGGACGAAAGAGCACTGGCGGACAAGCAGTTCAAGTTGGTGCAATGAGATTTCGGCCCAATCTTGTAGCATCAGGTGGTGAACCATATGCAGAAGATCGGTGGAGGCATCTAAATATTGGGGGCAAATATTTTACTGTGAGTTCTAGCTCTTATAAAATCAAGATTTGAAAACATGCAGTGACTGCATACTTTCTGTCCTAACATTGTGACAAAGAAATCTTGTGACAAACCATTCAGCATCTGTTGTTGATGTTCTTACATGTCTAGAGACAATTCCTCTACTTCTAAAGAAACTGTGGTGAGGAAAGAAAACTTGTCACTAAGTAGTCAATGATCATAATTTTCTCAACACTTCCAGGGCTATGCAGCTCTCAGTTTGCACCTCTTTCTTTATCTATCTTCTTTTAGTTTTATTAAAAAATAAAAGTTTTTCATGTTTTCACATGCCTAGATACATCAGTAGATACTTGTGTAAATACGCAATTGTTGTCACCCCCTGATTTTGTTAAGTGCAGTCATTGGGTGGTTGCAACCGTTGTCAGATGATCAATATAAATCCAGAGGCTGGGGAGGTGCAGAGGTTGAGTGAACCTTTGGCAACTTTAGCAGGCTACAGGAGAGCAAAGGTTAGAACCCACCTAAAACGAAGAAAAACCAAAAGAAATGCAGCATGTTTATTTAGCTTAGTTAATTACTTCTTACCATGTATTCCTTGCAAACAGGGGAAAATATTGTTTGGCATACTACTAAGATATGAGAATAATACGAAAACCAAGTCGGATGCATGGCTTCGTGTAGGAGAACAAATATTCTCAAATGGAGATAGCAATTGATTACTTTCTTTGAAGTCTCTATTTGGGACTTGTAAGTAGTCACAACAGAGGTTACAAGTGTTGAATGTGGTGAAGAAGCGGCAGAAACACTTCCTCTTGGCAGGTCAATACATCAAATTGTACTTTATTGTTCTCTGTATGTAAATGGGTATGTACTTCTAAAAGAAGTCTCTTATATCTTAATTCTTTGTAACCGATGTAATTACGAGCTAATAACTAATGGTAATGTTTATGTTCATATTCATTGGGCTGAGTCCAGTTTTATGTCCGGTATATGCAAGTTTGTAGTTTGTGTAGTATCTTGGTGTGCTACCCATGGATGTTGTAATTTGCCAGTATTGGCTAATGTATCAATACCACTTGTATCCACTATACCCATGGCTTCCCGTTGTGTTAGCTGAAACTCATCCCGTGGGTGCAAACTTAACATGGAAAAGATTGTGGTTTGACATTAACCTTTTTTAGCCTTTGAAACCATTGGATGATGGTATGTTGATTCACTGCCTTGTCTGGAGTATTTGAACATATCCAGAACTGTCATTCTTGATGCTGAGCTTGTTGCCTTCAATGATGTGCTCAGATTTGCCAAGGAAAATGCAGATATTCACTCTGTAACACTCTCTCACGGATCATGGTGACTGCAAATCCTGTGAGGGGAAGCATCATTGAGGACTGCAGGTTATTGTTCTGACCCTTGCAATGCGCCCTCGATCTATCATAGGGAGTGGAATCCAGCTGTGGATTGTCTTGGCACATTCTTGACCACTTGTGAAGAAAGTTCTTTGCCTATTCCTGTCCCCTTTGAAAAACTGGTGTGTACTGTTAATTAGACTCAGATATGTATCCATACAGCTCTCAACTATGAATTTACCAACTGAACATAGGATGAAGTGCGGGTTGTCTTTTATTTCATCCATAGGTAAGCATGTGAGAGTTCCTCCATCTACAGGTGTGGTTGTCTGTTGTAATGGCAATCGAGTTCCTTCATAGTACTTAGCTAACAAGTCATTTTGAGAAATGTTTTGTTGGTCATCTCAAATGTTTTCAAGAATATATTAAGCGAAGTAACTATTTTTCAGCTCTATTCGACTGTTTTCAGTTGTGTTGCTTACGTCTTCTGTTCTCTTTTTTGGTTGGCTCTAAAATCTTCATTATTGATGGATACGCTTCTATTCAATTTCAGAACCTGTATGATTTATTAAGGTCTCTTTTATTTTTGTTTAACTGAAGGTTTGAATCTGAATCATTCAAATTTTAGCCCATTAAGTATATTTGTGTTTTCCCTTTACTTACTACCTATTTATGAAAGGTCTGATTTCTGTGATCTTGTAGGGAGTTCTAAAATTATATAAGATGTTATTTATTTAAGGGGGAATTACACATAAATATAACCCACACGCATACGTTGCAACTAAGTGACCTAATATTTAATTTTGCAAAGCTATAGTCCAAAAATAATAGGTTAAGATTTAACATCCAACTCCAAATAAGTTTCCGAAATTACTATTAATTTTTTTTTTATTTAAAAAATGCTCAAGCTAATAATCTAATCTTTGAATTAGTGATTGTGACTAAAATATTAGTTCAACAACCAAATCCATTTGGGTGGCAAAAATTAGATTTTTAGTATAATCAACCATTGTTTAACAAGCCTAAATAAGTGGGTTTAGATTTCGAATTTGGTTTTATGAGAAACTTGGAGTGGATGTTGTTTAGACTTATCAGAAATAGTATAAGGTGGTTGCATACAAAATTTAAAGTCATTTAATAGAGATTTAGACTGATTTTAAACAGAATTGTAACTAAAATCGTGAAAGAAGTTTGTCTACAGATGCTTGTATAAAGGTGTATAAAAGTGTATAAGAGGTGTTTATACACTCATATACAATACTATACATTATTATATAAAAACTCACTTTGTCTTCTTCCTTGTGTCTTTTTGAAATTTAACTCGAATCTTGCTCAAATCACTTCAAATTTAATTTTGAACTCCTCTTGATGTTCAAAATCAACTGGAACAACACCTTATCTAAACAACTAACAAACTTGAAAAATCCTATTTCCGAAAGCGAAACTTTGAACGACCTTCAAGGGTGGACTTCTATTCTTCAATTTTATTACTACAACCATGTCCTGATTCAACCTATAAACACGAATGACCCACCTTTTCAGAATAGATATCTTATTGAAACTGCTCGTACCCTACTCATACAGTCTCATGTTCCGTTGCGTTTTTGGAGGGATGCAGTTCTTACATCTTGCTATCTTATTAATCATATGCCATCTTCAGCTATCCAGAATCAAGTTCCATTCTCTGTCCCGTTTTCTCACTTATCTTTGTTCTCTCTTCCACCCCGTGTCTTTGGGAGCACGTGTTTTGTTCATAACCTTACTCCAGGAAAAGATAAGTTAGCTCCTCGTGCTCTTAAATGTGTATTTCTGGGTTACTCGAGAACTCAAAAGGGGTATCAATGCTATTCTCCTGACCTCCAGCAGTACTTTATGTCCGCTGATGTTACCTTCTTTGAAACCCAATCATACTTCACAAGTCCAGGTAATCACTTAGATATTTTTGAGGTGCTACCAGTTCCATCTTTTGGAGATTCAGTCACTATCTCCCATTCATCTTCCTCTACAACTCCAGCTCCACCACCTATAGCTCCAGTTCCACTACCTAAAGCTCCAGTTTCACCACCTAGTCCAGTTCAACCTTCTACAACTCCACCACCTAGTCCAGTGCAACCTTTTGCAGCTCCACCACTCCTGACTTATCATCATCGTCCACGTGTAGCATCAGGCCCATCAGATTCACATCCTGCACCACCCTGCTAATACTGCGGACTTGTCTCATCTTAATCAAACGATTACACTACGGAAAGTTATATGGTCTACACTTAATCCTAATCCCTATTATGTCGGTTTAAGTTACCATCGTCTGTCATCACCCTATTATGCATTTGTATCATCTTTGTCCTCTGTTTCCATCCCTAAGTCTACAGGTGAAGCATTGTCTCATCCAGGATGACGACAAGATATGATTGACGAGATGTTTGCTTTACATATGAGTGGTACTTAGGAGCTTGTTCCTCTTCCTTCGAGTAAATCGGCTGTTAGTTGACGCTGGGTGTATCCAGTCAAAGTTGGTCTAGATGGCTAGGTTGATAGACTTAAGGATCGTCTTGTTGCCAAAGGGTATACTCAGATATTTTGGCTCGATTACAGTGATACTTTCTCTCTCGTGGCTAAAATAGCATCAGTCCGCCTTTTTTTTATCTATGGCTGCTGTTCGCCATTGACTTCTCTATCAGTTGGACATTAAGAATGCTTTTCTTCACGGTGACCTTGAGGAAGAGGTTTATATAGAGCAACCACCCGATTTTGTTGCTCAGGGGGAGTCTAGTGGCCTTGTGTGTCGGTTGCGCCGATCCCTCTATGGTCTAAAGCAGTCTCCTCGAGCCTGGTTGGTAAGTTCAGCATAGTTATTTAGGATTTTGGCATTACTCTTAGTGAAGACGATCACTCTGTGTTTTATCGACATTCTGCTTCAAATCTTTGTATTTATCTGGTGGTTTATGTTGATGATATTGTTATTACCGACAATTATCAGGATGGTATTACTAAGTTGAAACAACATCTTTTTCAGCACTTTCAGACTAAGGACCTAGGCAGATTAAAGCATTTTTTAGGTATTGAGGTCGCTCAATCTAACTCATGTATTGTGATCTCATAATGGAAGTATACCTTAGACATTCTTGAGGAGACAGTAATGACAGGCTGTAGACCTATTGACATTCTGATGGATCCGAATTCTAAACTTCTACAAGCGCAGGGGGAGCCACTTAGCGATCCTACAAGATATAGACGACTGGTTGGTTAATTAAATTACCTCACATTGATTAGATCTGATATTTCCTTTCCTGTTAGTGTTATAAGTTAGTTTATGGATTCTCCCTGTGATAGTCATTGGGATGCAGTTGTCCGCATTCTTCGATATATAAAATCAGCTTCAGGCAAAAGACTATTGTTTGAGGATCGAGACCATAAGCAGATCGTTGGATACTTAGATGCTGATTGGGCATGATCACCTTTTGATAGACGTTCTGCATTTAGATATTGTGTTTTAGTAGGAGGTAACTTGGTGTCTTGGAAGAGCAAGAAACAGAATGTCGTTGCTCGATCTAGTGCAAAAGCAGAATATCGAGCAATGGCTACGGCAAAATGTGAGCTAGATTGGGTCAAACAGTTGCTCAAGGAGTTGAAATTTGGTGAGATCATCCAAATGGAACTTGTGTGTGATAATCAAGCTACCCTTCATATTGCATCGAATCCGGTGTTCCATGAGAGAACTAAACATATTGGGATTGACTGTCACTTCGTCTGAGAAAAGATACTCTCAGGAGATATTACTACAAAATTTGTGAAGTCGAATGATCAGCTTGCAGATATTTTCAACAAGTCCCTCACCGGTCCTCGTATTAGTTATATATGTAACAAGCTCGGTGCATATGATTTGTATGCACCAGCTTGAGGGGGAGTGTTAGAATAGCTTTGTGAATATGTATATAATTAGTTCGAGTCCTGTATGGAATAGGAGTAGGTTATATATATTATGTGTACTTATAAATAGGATTCATTGCATTGCAATTAACATCAATTAATAATATTTTCTTCCGTGCTTTCTCACAGTTTTTATCACAAGAAATTGAAATCCCTTCAAGTCTTTTTTCATCTTTTAAAAGTTCAATCAATCGTGATATGTGAAAGTCACACTCAAGTGAGAGGTGATGCAAGTAAAAGTTTTTGACACAGCCAGTTTGTGGTGAAAGAAACTTATGCAAAATGATTCTTTTTCAATACATTAAAACTCAATACCATGGGCAAAGACCATAAACATTTAGATCAAAAGAAAGGAGATATAAAGACTTCATAAAGATCTCCATCACTTTGAATATAAACAAAGAAAGAACGAAGGAGAAGAAGGAAAAAGGAAAAAGGATAAAACAAGCGACGGGAAAAGAAAAAAAAGTGAGAAATAGGTCTCTAATGCTGGCTAAGGAAAGAATTCTTTTTTTTTCAAATTATATACAAAAGGGGTAAATTGGGTAAGGAGGTAAAATATATGTCAATTTTGATAGCATTGTTGCACCAACCGGATAAGACCTCTATATCCAAATCGAGCTGTCCAGCTACCGCTCCCTATTATCAACCACAGAAGGAGCATCTATGATGATTCTTCCGAGTGCCGTAGAGGAATCTGTGGCTGGATTGAATCTTTCACGATGGAAATACATTCTTCCCCCAACTTTCCAACATAGGGGGCTAGCTTGCTTCCAGTGGGATAATCAAAGTAATTTTATCTTTATTTAAAGAATCATGTGAATATGAATTTTGGTCAGTACTTTATCCATTATCACAGCACAATCAACTCCAGTGACCTCAATCGCCCAAACATCACAATCAACCACCACCACCTCCGGTGAATAGTGATTGCCACTACCATTTACTTCTATCACCATCTTTTACTACGCAATTCTCACCCCACAATCATTAGCTTGGCCACGACCATGAAAATGCTATTGTCAAACTATCATTAATACCACTTTGCAATCATTAGCCTACCGCTAGCACTATAAGTTGGCATGGCTGCGAGTTTTTAGTGTGTCAATAAATAAATAGTTTCTGAAAATGTCACTTAAATTAAGATTTTCTATAATGTTTATTGATATATATAAGTGTTTACCCTCAAAATCGGATAACAATTAAATTTATACGCAGTTTTAAGGATACATGATATAACTTGACACAAATTTAGAAAATAGATTATTATTGAAATCAATGACAGAAAAGTGAATGCAAACAACACAAGTTAAATAGTGTTA